CAGGTGGTGCTTCCTCAGGTGGAGGCAATGGTGGTGCATCAGAAAGGTGCTGCTTGGAGCCAGCCTTGACTAAGGCTTTAGCTTCTGATGTTTTCTTATGTTTTTTCTTAAAGTTCTTGTGCTTAGCTGATGGCTTGTTCTTCATGGAAGCTTTGTTCTTGATGGAAGCTTTGAATGCTAGGGAGAGTTTTTTCTTAGGCTTGCCTTTCTGCCTGGCCTCAGGCTGGAGCTCAGCCAAAGCTTCATGTCTGCTCATGTCTGAGAGTTTCTCAGCCATTTTTTGCACAAGTTTGCTCTTATGCTTCCTCAGCAGCTTTCTGAGCTTCCTCTGCCTTTCCCTCTTAGCAACCCCTCTCTCTTTCTTGCTTTGGTACTCAGCAGTCCCCATTCTTCTGATTTGGGCTCTTCTGAGGGAAGGGTGAATCCTCAGGGACAAGGAGTTTTGAAGCTCTAGTTCCAAGTCCTCAGCAATGCCATCACAGATCTCTGGCTGGAGCTCTTCCTCAGTGAAGTCCTTCTCATCCTCAGGGTGGAAATGGTCCCAGACTTGGAGGTCTGAGATGTGCTTTGCTGTGCTGCTCAGATTCCAATCTGCCTTTACAGGCACACCCTCAGCATCTCTCCACTTGAGCCTGTCTCTGAGCCACTCAGGACTGTACCTCTTGGTGCCAACCTCTAAGCCCATCTCCTTAGCCCACCTCTGAGACAGGAGTTCTACAAGCCTCCCTGAGGCTGGATCAGGTCTGTAGACCAGGATCCCATTCCTGACTGCAGCTCTGAGAACCCACTCATCTTTGAGATTCTTCTCAGCCATGGCTTCTTGAGCTGTCACAACTGCAGTGACAATTTGTAAGGGGCCAACTTTCCAAACTGAGTGCTCAACTTTTCTTTGGGCCTGCCACTCAGCTCTGAGGTCAATGAGCTTGTGTCTCACTAAGGCCTTGAACTGCTTAGCATAATCAGTGTCAGTGATTTGCAACTTAGAGGTGCACTTCTCAGCCACAAGGCAGCTTAACTGATTTGCTAAGGCCATGGACTCAGTGGCTGAGTCACTGAAGACTGAGGGGAAGCAATCCCTCATCCAAATGGATGCAGGGTACTGGGCAGCTTGAGCCTGGATGCTCCAGCTGAGGATAACTGAGTCCACATTGGCTGCAGGCTGCTGCATGATCTCAATCTTAGACATGAGCTCAGGGTGGGTCTGCCTCAGCCTCCTGTAGGGCAGCATGATTCTCCCAGCTGAGTTTCCCTGAGTCCTGGTGATGACCTTCTCACCCACTTTGAAGGTTTCATCACTGAGCCATGTGCCACTCTCTGAAATGTTGCTCAGTCTGGCCCATTCACCTGGCACAACTAACAGCCCTTTGCCAACTGAGCCAATGATCTCCTGAGACTCATCAGCATAAACTGAGTGCAGGAGCTGCCTGGTCATAAGTGATCCTGTATCTATCCTCCCCTGAGATTCCAATGAGAGTTGTGGATCCTGGCTGAGGCAAAGCTGGCTTGTCTGCTGGTGCTGAGGGCTGAGTTGAGCTTGCTGCATCTTTCTGAGTGCTGGCTTTTGCATCTTGCTCAGGGCTGGCTGGGACCATTTGCTCAGCATCTCCTGGAGCAGGGCTGGCTGAGCCAAAGAGACAATCCTCAGATTGGCTGGGTGGAGCTGAATCAAAGCTGGCCTGCTTCACCAGAGAATCTTGCTCAGGTTGGCTGGCTGGGGGGCTGCTGGCTGCTGATGCAAAGCTGAGCTGCCTCACTACTGACCCCTTGGGTGGTGACTCAAAGCTCAGCTTTCTTTGTGGCTGAGGTGTGGCTGGTACAAGAGGCCCTACCATCATGTCAGGCCCATGCTCTGAGTGCATGGCTTCACTGATGGCTACCCTGACTGAAGAGTAGTCCTTGGCATCAGCTGAGGCATGCAGTTCCTCCTCAGCAAAGACAGCTCTTCTACCTGTAGCCTTAGCCCACAAAGGCACCTGAAAAAGCCAACTGAGACCTTGCTGAAATGAACTGGGCTGGGCTGCTGAGCCTGTTGCTGTCAGCTAATGTCTGCTGAGATGCACATGTTGCTAGCCACAGTGTGTGGTCAAACTCTTGCCAGGTCAGCTTGGTCCTGGTTTGGGATTCTACCTGAGAGATGTTTGTAACTAGCTCAGTGGACATGTACTTAGCATCAAGCCATTTGACCAGCTGAGTCTTATTTTTTTTCTTGTAACCATCACTTATCAAGATAGTGCTTTTCCTGACTTCTCTTTCCTTAGCATCTGCCAGAAGCTCAGCTCTATGTATAGCAGAAATATCACTCAGCTGAGCTTGGTTTCTAAGCTCATTGGCTGTGAGCTGCAGCCTGCCAAGAAACTCAGCAAGCAAATCTTGCTTAGATATGGTGTGACCACATGCTCTTTCAATGCTGAGCCACTGCTTCATTTTTGAGATGATGTCTGAGAATGGAACCTTTCTGCCACCTCCTGAAGCTCTTTTCCTCTTGGAGGTCTGATGCACAGGCTTGCATTTGAGCTCCTTCTCAGCTACAAGAACTTTCCAATACTCTTCCTTAGCCAAGATGTTCTGAAGAGATCTCTTTGCAATGCCAAACTTCTGCACCTGAGCTTTCCAGTAATCTTGTAAACTGCTGAAAGAGTCTTTGGCTGCCTTCATCTCCTCACAGTATTTCAGCTTAGTAGCAGCTGAGACTTCAACTCTTTTCATTTGTGAGCCTGGCACTTTTCTGTTTGTTGACTGAGGGCTGGCTTTTGGAGATCTCTGAGGCTCTCTTCTCATCAGCTTCCTCTTTTTTTCTGCTACCTCAACAAGCTCAGTTTCAGTTGTGGCTAGCTCAGCTTCTAACTCAGCATGCTTTCTGAGTGCATCATTCCTTTCCTGGAGAGCATCTTGCTGGAATCTGCTGAGCCTCTGCCTCTTGAAAGGCTGAGCTTGCAGATGTAATGGCACTGGCTGAGCTTCTTTCTTCTGGCTTGCTGAGCCAAAGAACTTGTTTATGCCATACTGGACCTTTCCTGAGCTGGGTGGTGAAGACTCAGGGCTGCCAGTGGCATCCTTCTCAGGTGTAGCTTCAGCTCCTCCACCCCTAGCTCTGGCTTGCTGAATCACCTTAGTCAGCAAGAAGCCAACATGAAGGTAGCCCATGAGTGGCTGAGTTACTCAATAATATGAATGTTTGGATGGTACCCTATTGTGCCCAACAACTTTTGGGGTTGAAAAAAAAAACATTTCTCAACCTTTCCTTTAGTAAAGATGGTCCATTTGTTTTAGAAATAGCTATTTGTGTTAAAGCTTTTAAAATGCAAGGTTTTCCAAATAATTAGATGCCTTATTAAACCCTTATTAAAAAACAGCATCCAGACAATTTTTCAAGGTGGTACCCCATGAGTGGCTGAGTTACTCAATAATATGAATGTTTGGATGGTACTCTATTGTGCCCAACAACTTTTGGGGTTGAAAAAAAAACAAAAACCCTTTCTCCACCTTTCTTTGAGTAAAGCTGGTCCATTTACTTTAGAAAGCCATATTTGTGTTAAATCTAAATGCAAGGTTTTCCAAATAATTAGATGCCTTATTAAACCCTTATTAAAAAACAGCATCCAGACAATTTTTCAAGGTGGTACCCCATGAGTGGCTGAGTTACTCAATAATATGAATGTTTGGATGGTACTCTATTGTGCCCAACAACTTTTGGGGTTGAAAAAAAAAAGCAAAAACCCTTTCTCCACCTTTCTTTGAGTAAAGCTGGTCCATTTACTTTAGAAAGCCATATTTGTGTTAAATCTAAATGCAAGGTTTTCCAAATAATTAGATGCCTTACTGAACCCTTATTAAAAACAACATCCAGACAATTTTTCAAGGTTGTACCCCATGAGTGGCTGAGTTACTCAATAATATGAATGTTTGGATGGTACTCTATTGTGCCCAACAACTTTTGGGGTTGAAAAAAAACAAAAACCCTTTCTCCACCTTTCCTTGAGTAAAGCTGGTCCATTTGTTTTAGAAATAGATATTTGTGTTAAATCTAAATGCAAGGTTTTCCAAATAGTTAGATGTTTTATTAAACCCTTATTAAAAAACAGCATCCAGACAATTTTTCAAGGTGGTACCCCATGAGTGGCTGAGTTACTCAATAATATGAATGGTTGGATGGTACTCTATTGTGCCCAACAACTTTTAGGAGTGAAAAAAATATTTATCCACCTTTCTTTGGGCAAAGGCTCCAGGATGTCTGAGATGTCCAAGCTCTGAAGGACATTGAGTTCCTCAGCCTTGTGGTGGAGAGCTTTCTGCCTGCTGAGAGCTCCTTTGAAGTAATGAACTGCTGAGCTGTAGTAATTGAGCCACTGCTCAAAGGATTTGCTGAGCTTCTTCATCTCCTAGCTGGTTCAATGAAAGATCCCAAAAGATATAAACATAATTTAACTATATTATGAATTGTAATTATAATGAGTTTACCTCAAGCAGCTCAGATGCACAAAATTATACTCAAGTGCCAACAAGCTTCATCCCTGAGCAGCTGCATCTTAGTGACCAGGGCTCTCAAGTTACTGAGTGGCTTCAAAAGGATGCTCAGGGTGAAGAGGAGCAAAGAAGTGAATGCAAGCCATCCCTGAGTTTTGCAACATTGCATTCATGTTACAAGAGTCACCTTTACCTACATAATAAGAAACTTGTTGATAAAATAGAAAATTGAAAACATGAAAATAGGCAACACTAAGCTGTGCCCAAGGTCAAGCTCAGCTGAGGAAAAAAAAGGATTGAGGTCCTTCAGCCTCACTGCCAGGTCAATAGCATTGCAACCTGAAGTGCAGGCTTGGTGCAAAACAAGAATACACTAAGAAAAGAGCTAGTTGCCTAATTAATTAAGTAATTAGTCAATTAATCATACCAAATGATTACTAACTAATTAATTAACTAATTACTTACTGATGTTGGATACTGAGGCAGACTCCTTTTTCCAAAAACGCTGCTCAGGTAAGCTGAGCCCTTGAATTGTCTCAGAATTCATTCTGAGCCTGTAGATCACTGAGGTGCCATTCCACCTCAGCTTCAATGTTCCACTGAGAAAGTAGGTCAGGCTCAGCCACATCTGAGAGGTCTATGCTGCTAAGCACATTGAGCCTCTCAGCCTTGGTTCTGAGTCCTACTTCCCTGCTATGTGCACTGAGCCAATGTTGCTTAGCACAGCTGAAAGCATGTGCTGAGGCCAGCAACTCATTGATGTCATTCTCAGGTTGGTGGCGGGCCCAAAGTACTGAGAGCTCAGGTCGCTGAGTGTTCTCCACCACCAGGGTCTCCTGCCTGAGCTCTTCATCTGAGGCAGTCCTGCTGTAGAGTGCCTGAGCTGGCTGAAAAGGTTTCAAGAAACCAACAGACCTCAACAAAAAACATCCAACAACATGTTCCTCTTCACAAAAAAAGGAAACCAAATGAATTCAAGTACCCTGAGGAATCGATTGTACATGACACCCTCCCTGGTGGCTAAGATAGCAGTGCTCAGCAGCAAGTCCCACTCTGTGAACTGAGCTTCTTGGTCCCAGTGGGAGACAGGTCCACTGAGAAGTGCCCAGCGCTTCTTCACTAAGAATTCTGAGAACAAAGCTGCACCACCTGCCTGAGGGTCAAACTCTTCAAAATGCTGCTTGAGGTGCCTCAGGGTGTCCCAGGTACTTCCTCCAGTCATATCCATCCTGAGCTCCATGGCCCTGACCTTCTCTGAGATGAAGTCAAGCCTCTGCTGAGAATGATCAGAAGCATACCAAAGGTCATCTCTGAGGTTCTGCAGAACCTGCACCAAGGTGCTGAGCTCAGTCTTGAGGCCCAGGAGGAAGATGAAGCAAAGAGCCAAGACTGAGAGCCCAGCCTGGTGTTGTTTTGTGCTTCCATGCAAAAAAAACAAGTAGTTTTTACCATTGGCCTAAGCAATTTTTTACAGCTGATCCAAGTATGGTACTGCTTGCTGTCAAGAAGCAAGCTGGGGTGCATGAATGACATCTGATAGCTGGCTGAGCCTAGCCTGTAGGTCCACTGAGGTACCACCTAGGGCTACCATCTGAGGAATGAACAAAAACATGTTGAACCATGCAATCCAAGGACCCAAAAACAAGTTGTTATGTAGCTGAGATGCTAGCCAAGCTGATGCCTGTGCTGCAAGCAAGAGCCATGATGCAAACCATCTTCAGCTGAGGTCCCATGGCTCCAAGAGAAGAACTGATGACTGATGCTGATGAAGGTTGCTGATGTGCTGAGATCAGAAAAAGCTGCTGAGGCACATGGTGCTCAAGAGACTGAGATGCTGAAGACAGACTAGCTCAAAGGCTGACATGATATTTGTGCTACTGTGTCTAAGACCAGGTTTATCTCCTGCAAAATCATTAATTAATTAATTAATTATTTAATTAATTAGCAAACAACAATAAGGTGCAAGCTCAGGAACTTGAGAGGCTCAGCCCAGATGAAGCCACCAAGCTGAGGATCACAAAGGCCTTCAGCTGAAGATTCATGGCTGTAGCCTTGGCTGCCATGGAAGCACATGGAAACACATGCCATTAATTAATTGATTATGTTTTAGTTCATCCTAAAATTTTTTAAAAAAAAAACAGAAACAAAAACATGACTAAACTTGATTGAGAAGCCAGGAAGCAAATGCAGTTGCAACTGAGTGCTCAGAGTGCTGAAGCTTGGATGTTGGATGCTGCTGTGGTAGCATGGAGGCTCAGAACAGCCCTAGATGAAAACTTAGAAAGGAATGTCACCAACTTAGGGTGGCCAACACTCAGTGCCAAGGCTTACTGGTGGCTGCAGCCAACCTAAGTATGCCTAGTATGCTAAGTTATATAAATTCTACTTTAGATAGCCTTTCCCATGTGTGGCCTAGATCCTTAGCTAAGCATTAATTAGTAGTGACAACATCCTCCCCTGATTGCAGCCAGCTCCAAGCCACTTTTTCATCCAGTGCATCTGAAATATGATGCTGTTGAAGAGCTGATGCATGCTGAGAATGCATCAAGTAGACACAAAATCATGACCAAGTCATGGCTGAGGGTTGCTTGGGCTGTGCCAAGCTTCTAAAAAGTAGAAGTCACCTAAGCCCCATCAGAAGTGCATCTGCTGAATCTTACTGTGCTTGCTGAGATGATGTAGCCCTGAGACTTTTCTTCACATCTTCAGGTCCTGCCAGGGGGAACAGTATAAGGACAAGGTCAGCTACATGGGCACTGCACTAAGAAGAACCATTACAATGTCCAACACTAGCCATTACTTATGCTAAGTAACTAAAGTAATTAGTTAATACTTTAACTATTCTAAACCCCAACAACAACCAGCAGCAGTGCCAAAACCACCCACATCCATGCAGAACTGCACTCATTTTTCTGCCAGCTTTTCAACATGCTGCTAAGACTTATGAACTGACTAAGCATTGCTCAGCATGAAAGCACCTGAGTCATACCTCCTCAGGCTCCAAGAAACTGTACTACTTGTTGTCTGAGTTGGCAGACATGGCTGAGCCCTGGGACCTCTGACTAGTCTCATCTGGCTGATATTTTTGCAACAGCTTGCTGAGATCAAATTCAGTCAGATTGTTCTCCCTCATGAACTCATCAATGGCAGCCTTCTTTGTCTCATTCAACTGAGCCCTAGTATCTATGAATGTCTTAGCTCTTTGCAGATTCACCTTCAGCTCAGCTTGCAAAGCTTTCAGCTCCTCTTGCTCAGCTTCCATTCTATCAGCATCTTCCCTGAGCCTGGTGATTGTAAGTTCCTGAAGTATTTTTGCCTGCTCAAGTAGAGCAATCTTAGACCTCATACTCTGACTCAGACAATATGCATTGTCTAAGTCCCTGAGCTTCTCATCGTTTTCTGAGTTGTCCAGGAGCTCCTGAATCTCATGGCTAATGTCCAGTTGGTGGAGCTGAGACTTGACATAGCCTTGGGCATCATTGGCAGTCCTGATAGGCTGAGACTCCCAAACTGAGGCATCTAGCACCTCGAAGGGCTGATGAGGTCTGCCTGAGCCCTTCCCATGATAGCTCCACATGGCTGAGATGATATAGAGCCAAGGTTTGCTGAATCTTTGCACCTAGATTTGATCCTCAATTAAAAAGCTGAGGAGTCACATAGACATGCACATATGAACATGCTACAACTTCATTGGTTAATTAATTAATTCATCAATTAGTTACTCAATTCTTTGGTGTCAACATGACTGAGCAAGATTGACACAAGGCCAACTACATGGGCACTGCACTAAGAAGAACCACTACAATGTATTAATTAATTATAATGTGTATTTCTTGGGAAACTAGTTCAGAAAACAATGGCAACAACAACAGAAACAGCAGCAGCATTGACATATTTTCCCTGCCAGCTGCTTGCCATGGCTTGTGATGTTTCAAAAAATAAGGTAATCTGTTAATTACCTAGGTTCATCGTCACTAGTGTTCATCCTCAGGAATTACCTGAGTCTTCCTCAAGCCTCTCAATCCTTGGCTTCTTGCTGAGACCAGGAGGCTCAGAAACTTGATCAGAAGGAATGGGCTGCTGAGCATCATTCTGCCTTTTCTGATGCAGCTCCAACAAAGCTTCAGGGCTTAGACCAATAGCTTCCATCTGACTGAGAATCTGCTCAGCCTGCTGTTCTTTTACCTTCCTCAGTTCCTCCTGAGCCTTTGCCATCTCTTCCTCCTCCTTCTTCTTAGCCAGGGAAGCATGAATCCTTTCCTGAGCTGCAAGGATGCAAATCCTGAACTCAGTCAAGACATCTTGCTCCTTAGCCATCTGCTCAGCATCTTTGAAGATCCTCTGCATAGTGGCATCCTGAGCCTCATAGGCTTCCTCAACAAGCAGAAGCTTCTGAGAGAGGATGGCTTCCAGCTGCTCCACATTTGAGGCATCAGGACTAAGGTCAATCTCCTTCAGCTGATTGATAGCCTGGCTGATGCCATTCTCAGTGTCAATCTTAGCAAGCAATGACTTGCAGTACCCCTGAGCAAAGCTGGGGTCATCAATCTGAGCAGAGGCAGCAGCTTCAGGTGGCTGAGAAGGTTCAGCATCAGCTTCAGCTTGAGGTAGCTCACAAGAAGGAAGCTTAGCAGGCTTAGGAGGATTCAGTTTGTGCTTGAACTGAGATGTCCAGTAAGGTTGTGAGATCATTTTTTGCCAAGGCAATGGAGCCATGTTGAGAACCACCTGATAATACTGAGCAATGACTCTCAGAGGCCACCCATTGACATCCTGCAAGGTTGCAAAAGATGTGAACTTAGTAATTAATTGGTTAATTATATAATTGATGAAGACTATGCACCCAAGCTAAGAAATACTGATCAACAATTTCATGCACCCATGTTCCAACCCATCTCCTTGCAGGTATTGCAACCATTCTGAAATGGGATCCTGCTGAGTTTCACCTTAGCATGGCACTGAGGACAAAGAACATCAGGCTCTCCATCATACCGAGGGTAGCTCAGGATGTTCTCAGGATTTGCTCCAGGACCAAATAGGTCCTCCACTGAGGGAAGGCTTTGTGGGATGAGCTTGGGCTAACTATGGGCTTGAGTTCACCAAGCAGCTGAGGAATCACACAAGCATGCGTTGCTGAACAAAACTGAGCACAAGTCCAAGACCATTGGCAAGCTGAGAACCAACCCCACAGCCCCAGAACCAACCCTCAGTCCTCTAAGCTTCCTCAGCCTTCTTCTCCAGGTCTTCTTCCAGTATCTCAATTGCCATCCTTACTGAGATACCTTGTCCTGCAAGAAACTGAGAAAACTGTCTTTGCTTCTCTTCTTCAGAGGTCTTATCTACCTTGAGTCCTTTCTCAGCATGACCACCATCCTCAGCATTGCCATCATTCTGATGCTTTCTTTTTAGATGATTGTTCTCTGTGAGCATCACCACATCCTCAGGTCCTGCCAGGTGGAACAGTACATAAGGACAAGGTCAACTACATTGGCACTGAACTAAGAAGAACCATTACAATGTACTAATTAATTAATTAATTACAATTAATTCTTGGAAAACTAGTTCAAAAAAACAATGTGATTAACAACAGAAACACCTCAGCACATCAAATGCATTTTGCCACTTCCAGCTGCTTGCCATGGCCTGTGGTGGCACAACTCAGTCTCAGCTAAGATACTTTAAAAAAATACCTGAGTCTTTTGCTCAGGCTTCAAGCTACTCAGGCTCCTCCTCCTCAACTTGGACATCCACCATCTCAGGATCATCCTGATGCTCTTCAATTTTTGCCTTCTTGGTGTTTGGGCCCTCAGACTCAGCACTGGCAGCCTCAGAAGGAATGGGCTGCTGAGCAGCATTCTGCCTTTTCTGATGCAGCTCCAACAAAGCCTGAGGGCTTAGACCAAAAGCATCCATCTGACTGAGAATCTGCTCAGCCTGCTGTTCTTTTACCTTCCTCAGTTCCTCCTGAGCATTTGCCATCTCTTCCTCCTCCTTCTTCTTAGCCAGGAAAGCATGAACCCTTTCCTGAGCTGCAAGGATGCAAATCCTGAACTCAGTCAAGACATCTTGCTCCTTAGACATCTTCTCAGCATCTTGTAGGATCATCTTCACAGTCTCATCCTGAGCTGCATAGGCATTGTCAATGAGCATAAGCCTCTGAGAGAGGATGACTCCCAGCTTCTCCAACTCTGAGACATCAGAACCGATGTCCATATCCTTCAGCTGAGAGATGGTATCTGCCATGCTGTTCTGAGGGTCAATATGAGCAAGAATTGACTTGCAGTACCCCCCAGAGAAGAGCTGAGCCTTCTGAGCACCTGCAGCCTCAAGTGCCTGCTCAGGTTCAGGTGGCTGAGCAGTTTCAGCATCTTGATTTTTCTGAGAAGGAGGAGGCTCATCAGGCTCAGCTGGCTGCTGCTTGTGCTTGAACTGAGCTGTCCAAAAAAATCTGGAGATGCGCTTTTGCCAAGGCAATGGAGTCATGTTGAGAACCACCTGATAATACTGAGCACTGACTTTCAGAGGCCACCCATTGACATCCTGCAAGGTTGCAAAAGATGTGAGGAAAACCTTCAATCAGACATTGAAACAAAGTAATTAACTCATTAATTGATGAAAACCCTGCACCCAAGCTAATAAATACTGACCAACAATTTCATGCACCCATGTTCCAACCCATCTCCTTGCAGTCTTTGCAACCATTCTGAAATGGGATCCTGCTGAGTTTCACCTTAGCATGGCACTGAGGACAAAGAACACCAGGTTCTTCATCATAGCGAGGGTAGCTCAGGATCTTCTCAGGATTTGCTCCAGGACCAAATAGGTCCTCCACTGAGGGAAAGCTTTGTGGGATGAGCTTGAGCTGAGGATAGCCACCCCTGACAGTAAACTCCATGCCATTTGGGACCAAGTCTGAGTAATCCTTAGTGCGCTTTGCCATGGCTCAGTTACTGAGTTGCAGCTGAGCTCAAATGCAGATAGGGTGAACTATGGGCTTGAGTTCACCAAGCAGCTGAGGAATCACACAAGCATGCATTGCTGAACAAAACTGAGCACAAGTGCA